CAGGATTCGAACCTACGCCCCCGAAGGGATTGCCTGACATGCTATCTGCGAGAATAGCAGGGCAACGTGTTAACCACTCCACCAAAGCGCCTGAAATGAGCTATCACGTGATTGTTGAGAGTACATTGTACTAGTTTACCATATATTTCCTCCCGGCAACGCGATCAATTACGTAGGGGGTCGCAATGTAGAGCCACTGCCGCATCTGCGGGGCACTGGTTAGTGGGCTTAGTGGGGGATGAGCATAGGGCTGCAGGGCTACTGGGTCTGGTACCTGGCAAGAGAAAAACGGCGCCCGCTGTCCTTTTATTGAATGTTCAAAGCACGCCGGAGCCGCAACTTACCGCCCGACTTCTTCGATCATTTCTCCCTTAGATGGCTACGTGCTCCCGACTCCTCCTCCCATCATGACGGACAAGATGAAGGAGACGGATCCCAAGACGATTGTCTTCCTGCACCCAGACCTCGGCATAGGCGGCGCTGAAAGGCTGGTTGTTGATGCCGCCGTGGGTCTGCAGAACCGCGGCCACAAGGTCGTCGTCTTCACTAGCCACTGCGATCCCCAGCACTGCTTCGACGAGGCCCGAGATGGTAGGTTTTGCATTCTCTGATTGACACCCTATTCCTACTTATAAGGCCCCCATCCCCTTCCCTTCCCTCCACCCATTTTGCTCAAACTCACCACCGAAACCCTACTACACAGGAACCCTCGACGTCCGCGTCCGCGGCAACACCATCGTGCCGCCCTCAATCCTCTCGCGCTTCAGCATCCTGTGCTCGATCCTCCGGCAGCTGCACCTGATCCTGCAGATCTACCTCACGTCCGAGCTCGCGAGCTTGAAGCCCGACGCCTTCTTCGTCGACCAGCTGAGCGCGGGCCTGCCCCTGCTGCAGCTCCTGCACCGCGGGCCGGGCGGCGGCCGCGTGCTGTTCTACTGCCACTTCCCGGACCTGCTGCTGGCGCAAGGCCGGGAGCGCTGGTGGAAGCGCGCGTACCGCGCGCCGTTCGACCGCTGGGAGCAGTTCAGCATGAGCTTCGCCGACGCCGTTGCCGTCAACTCCAACTTCACCAAGGGCGTCGTCGGCCGCACGTGGCCCGCGCTCGCGCGGCGGATGGATCTGAAGGTCGTGTACCCGTGCGTCGATACCAAGGCGAAGGAGAAAAGGAAGGCGGACGATAACGAGAGGCCGCTGTGGAATGGCAAGAAGTTCCTGCTGAGTATCAATCGCTTCGAGCGCAAGAAGGATATCGCGCTGGCCGTCAGGGCGTTCGCGGGCTTGAGCCCGGAGGCGCGCAAGGGGGTGCGTCTGGTGGTGGCCGGCGGCTACGACCCGCGCGTGGCGGAGAACGTGGGATATCACAGGGAGCTGGTCGACCTGACGGAATCTATGGACTTGCGCAGTATGACAACCAAGACGCACGTGACGGCACTCGAGGTCCCCGACGACGTGGAAGTACTGTTCCTGCACTCGGTGCCCAACCTGCTGAAGGACGCGCTCCTGGCCTCGGCCCGCCTGCTCATATACACCCCCGCCAACGAACACTTCGGCATCGTACCTCTCGAGGCCATGCTCGCCGGCGTCCCCGTCCTCGCCGCTGATACGGGAGGTCCCACCGAGACGGTCGTCGACGGCGTTACGGGGTGGCTGCGGTCGCCCACGCAAGTGGAGGAGTGGACGAAAGTCATGGATAAGGTTCTGAACCAGCTATCCCCTAAGGATCTCGAGGCTATGAGTAAGGCCGGCATCGCCCGGGTACAGGATAATTTCGGAGATACCCATATGGCTGCGCGGTTGGATGGCATTGTGACAGAGATGCTGGAGAGGCCATCTCGGGCGTGGTTATCCTGGTGGCCAATAATCATGCTGCTAGTAGGCGCCGCGGCCGGGGTTGGGCTGAGATTTGCGCTGCTATCGTGAGGACGAGAAGAGATATTACGGCCAAAAACAGAACCAGATTTGTGATCTTGGCAGTCTCCTTGTTTTTTGCGTACGGCCCACGCACCTTAGTTCATAGAGCATTGCATTGTAATATTATGACGGATACCCAGCTAATGAGCCTGACTTTACATTTATATGGTTGTATTTGTGCGTGTGAATTGATGTACGATACATATCAACCATCTCCAGAATCTGAATAGAAATTTCGAAATATAACATGTCTAGAGAAAGGAGACAAGTGTCCAATCTAAGCATAAACCAGGCCGCCATCCCAAGATCATAACGAGCAATAGATAAACGCTCGACCAGTCCTAGATCATTTCATATGATACCTTAAACATTATAACTAATAGACCTTTGGCTAATTGGGTTCATATGTGTACTATTATAGCAGAAATATCATACAGAGCTTAGCGATATATTTGATCCTAACCTGTGGGATGACAACTAAGTCAACCTGAGCACAAAGAAGGACACGATGGCAAAGCGATCTAACGCGTGAGACTTAACCTATGTGATCCATTTACGCTAGGTACACATCTCATATCTTCGGATGTGCAGGTTCGAATCCTGCACGTGTCGACTCAATATGTTTTTTGGTATATATATGCGGGCAATACCTACGTTACAGTTCTTGAAGATAATACAGGATGGTAGGATTGGTCAACTCAAATAGATAAATATTCAATATATGATACTTTTTTATTTTCTTCCTGCCTACTTTTCCCGTTGAATCAGATATAGCTCTTGACTTTCAAGGCATTCATGCGTCCTCGAATAGACAACCGATGTCTGATGATAATTTAGAAGACGTGCTGAACGAGACGCCTGAGTGAGTTACTGTTTACCTCGCCACCGCTTCGGACGTGAACGTCTAAAAGTCTTAAGATTTAGATAAAGATAATGACAAACTATGACTCGACATTCAATGTGTATATACGGCTACCTCCCTGCAAGTCATCGTCCAAACATTCATTTACTTCCCGAAACGTGTTATCCCTTGCCGAGGTTTGTCCCTGCAAACACTGCTCCTCCCCTCAATACTCGTCGTTATCATTGGCAATGACACCACGTCACAGCAACAGAGAAGGTGAAATCGTATGGTTTAATGTAGTCCAGCATAGTGTAACGGTCAACATACCTCCCTTTCAGGAAGGAGTTCGGGGTTCGAGTCCCCGTGCCGGAAACCAATCTTTTTTCCTTCCCTTTTCTTCGATTACCACCCGTATTTTTTGGGTAAAGATTTTTTTTTCTTGGTACAAATCACATGGGCAACTAAGGTCCCCCAGGTATTAACAACAGTACAATGCATCGATTGTGCAGAAGAACAAAAATAAAAGCTAAAAGCTCTGACAGCTTTGCGTGCTATGTACTTCTCTCGGCCATCACCAACTCATGTACAAGCAGACAGTTAGTCCTCCTGATTCATACAAAAAGGGGGAGGTTTTCCCCCCTTACAAGACAACATTAGCCTCCGCCATCCTAGACTCCGAATTTCTGAGAAAAAGCCGCCGATTCCTCTTCCCCATCCCCCGCTGGTAATGCGTGCCTTTGAATCTCATCCCTGAAATATAGATTACGCAGCATTAGTTTGCTGGGTTGGCTGGTCTTGTGTTTTGATTCTTTCGTAGTTTCAGGGTGCAAGCTTCAGAGATGGTTGTACAACGACAGGTCTTGATTGTACAACTCACTCTGCTTCTCAGATTTCACCAGCTACTTCGTACATGTCCCCTCCCGAGAACGAAAAACCATTGACGTTGAATGAATTCGGAAACATTCCACGTATAAGGCTAAAGGTTGCACACGTGTGATTGCTTATCGCATTATCGACCAATTGCGAGACGTTCTCGATGATATTATGGGATTTCGAGTAATCTACGGAAGTTAGCTAGGGATATAATACACGTACGATAAATAAAACAAAGTAAGACAACATAAACTAATTGATCTATTTGAATTTTGAACAATGAACAATAAAATGACAGAAAAAAGGAGATACCGCTAAGAGGAGGTATTTGACTGAGGGGGTCGACTTACCAGTGAGAATTTTATGCGAGTGGAGTGGAGAACAAATTGATTGAATGGAAAGATGATTCTCCCCTGCAAGAGAGCATGCCAGGGACATTCATGAGTGTTTAGGCGTAGTATGACAATGCCAGAAGTAGAACGGACAGGGCAGTTCGAAATTGTGACATTTTTGAGCTGACCAATAACAAATTTGGTCATCTAGACAAGGGTGGCCGTTCGTTTACAAATGTCTTGAGGCTGTTTGCTCTCACAGGAGAACGGTCACTGAGGCGCCCAAGGTTGAGACTCCCCGAACCCTGCTAAGTTAGGTCCAAATCGGCACTCTGTTGGCACGGCTCTTAGATCATAGGCGCCGAAAAGGCATTTCGCTCCGAGTTCTGCTCGGTTGGCATTCTCGAGTCGCTTTCGTTCCGAATTCTCGCTTCCTCATACCGTCCTATACTCATCTGATGCGGCGCCTGTGGCCACAAGTGATACGGTTGTTCCTACCTTCCATATCGATCAGGCGGCTGGCGCTCATACAGATGTCTGTTGTCAGGTCGTAGCTGCTGCTGTAGAATGGATTGTTGTTGCTGATCACGCATCTGTTGCTGTTCCCGTATCTGCGCCTCGCGAAACTCCTGGGTGGAAGGGGGAGGATAGCCTCTAGTATCGTAAGCGCTCACTGGAGTGTAGCTCCTAGGCGGGCCAGGATCGCGAGGATCTCGGCCCGGTCCTGGCGTGCTAGCGTATCGGGGATACGCGGCCGGAGCTTGCGGCGGCGGCGGCTCGGGGGCACGCGAGGCAGGCGCATACTGCTGCAAGGGAGCTTGCATTCTGTGTGGCGGCGGGTAGACATCCCGAAGCGCCATTGGGTCGTGTCCTCTAGGCGGCGGCGGCGCCGTAGCCCACGAAGGTTGTGGGGGAACAGAACTGCTGGGCGGCGGCGGTTTCGGCGTAGGCGCGTGTTGTGCTGCCCAAGCTGACTGAGTTGGTGGTGGCTGCGTCGACTTCGGTGGCTGGGGAGGGTGGGGCGGATGCGACGCCCAAGTAGGCTGCTGTTGCTGGGGCGGCGGCGGTGCCTGCTGCTGTTGATGCTGTTGATGCTGCTGGTGTTGTTGATGTTGTTGATGCTGCTGATGCTGTTGATGCTGCTGATGCTGTTGATGCTGCTGATGCTGTTGATGCTGCTGATGCTGCTGATGCTGCTGCTGCAGTGGGTGGCCTTGGTGTGTGCCAGGCCAGTTACCATCTCGACTCGATTGAGGTTCATGACCCCTGGGAACGGAGTGACCTCCATATTGAGGCGGAGGAGATGCCGCATTGGGCTGCTGAACTGGGGCACCGTAAGGATAGGATGGCTGAGGTTGATACTGCAGCTGTGCCGGCTGGTTTGGAGGTGGATAGTGATGGGCACTCTGAGGTGAGTTTGCTGCCGGTTGTTGATGTGTCGAGGGGAAAGAGCGCGGCCGTCCCCCATAATACTCTTGCTCTGCAGCGGTGTCTAAAGGCATATGACGAGGGGTGTTTAGAGGTTGTGCTTGCGGCGATGCAGTAGCGTATGGTTTTAAAGGAGGCATTGCAGACGGCGCCGCGGGGGGATTACGACCGTACCCATAACCTCGCGACTCCTGGACTCCCGACTCCCTTCGAACGTGAGATGGGGGCGGCGGCGGCGGCGGCGGTGGGCGAGAGAGGTTAGTCTGTGCCGGGGGAGTTGATGATGACTTCGTGGCGATAGGTACCTCCGCAACTCTCTTTGGGGGGGGAGGAGGATCGTCATTCAATAGTGCCATCAGGTTAGACGTCTTTCGCTCCGGTGGGCGAGAAGGCGGAGGAGCAACTGCGGGCGGCGTAGGCTGTGGCGGCGGAGCGCTGAAAGGCTCCGCCCCACTGCCAGCACCGGATGGAGGCCGAGATAGGTTTGAGAAAGGCCGAGGGCGGGCCGGTGAAGATGGATTGCTTTCGCCCAGCAACGCTCGGCCGGGCTGTTGAAGAATGGTGGCGAATTGCGCTTGGGGAGCCGGTGCAGGTGCAGGTGTAGGCGCTGGTGCTACTGCGCGAGGCGGATCTGGAGGACGAGACAGTGGTATGTTTTCTTGACGAGATGGTGCCATACGGCTGGGCTGGGTTGGAGCCGCAAAAGGCTCGTACTGATGGATGAGATCCGGTTCCTGTTTTACACGCAACTGCTGTCGTTCCTGGTGACGCGGCTGTTCCTTGGGTGCCTTAAGCTCAGCTTTGGGTCGTTCTAGCTGAGGCTCAATTAATGATGTAGGCAGAGGGTGTCTTCCCATGGGAGCCTCAGATGCTGGTGGGGGCGCAGGCTGAGGTGGCTTATGACTATGACCCAATGCGACGCGACTAGGCTGCTGCACAGGCAACTCACGTTCTCTCTCAGCGAAGGGGAACGGCGCCCTCATAGGTCGAGGAGACATGGTCTGTGTCACTGTCACTGGCTGGGCAATAGACTGCGATCCAGGTGGGGTAGCCGCATGGCTCTGAACTAGCGGAGGCTGAGGCGTTGACCCATATGGCGACTGCATGAGCGTGGGCTGCGGTTGAGCTGCTATCGGGACATTGAAGTTTCTTGCCGGCGGTTGCACTGGAGGATGTTCTAGCTTGGACGCCGGTGCTTCCTCCATCATCGCGTCTGCAGCTGCGAGCGGTCGATTACTCGACGTTTCGTACCGCTTCTTTGCACCCGAGCTGGGTGCCGGGGGGGCGGGTCTCTTCTCACCCCGAGCCTTGCTGGCGTCTGCCTCCCGCACGATCCCTTCCCAATCGTGAGCATCCTTCTTGCGGGTGTAATAATTTTTTATCTACAAAAGTTAGTGAGATCGCTACGAAACTGTGGGATCGTGTGCTGCTTTATATACGTACCATAACCGGCGTCTTGGTGCGCATGTGTATTGCTATCGCCTGCCAATCGCTGCCAAAGGAGCGTAGTAAATGAGGGAAGTCATTGGCCTCGGGTACGCTCCAATAGCTGGATGCTTGCGTGCCTGACTTACGATCTACTACTTGCGTCTGCCCAAGATCAAGCATAGCAACCTGTGGCTGCTGCGGCGGCTCTGGGCGCAGAGGTGGAGGGCCCATCGTATCAACGGGCATTGAGACTGCCTGTGGTGGAGGCGGTAGAGGAACCCTTTCGGGGCTAGGCATCGGCTGCGCCGGTGGAAACGGTGAGGGAATGGCAACGGGCGGAGCGGGCGCGGTACCTGGGGCCAATTGAGTCAATTCGTACTGAGGGGGGACCCTCGGGGGTTCACCCGGTGTCTGCTGAGGAGTCCACTCCGGGCCGTGGACGGCTCGAGAGCTAGATCGCGACCGGTTGCCCTTTGTTCCCGCAGGCGGAGCTGCGGCAAGAGTCTGGTTGACACGGGGTTGTTTCGCCTCCTTGTCCTTCACGGCGCGGCGCCCTCTCGGTTTGCGCTCAGGTCTGTCGGTGCCGTCTCCTCTAGAGCCGGCCGCTCGACGACCTGGTGTCCCGGCAGGTGTTCCGCCTTCGCCGTCCGTGGCCGGCGTGGCCTCTGAATTGAAAGTGGGAGCTGCCGCACGCCTAGGCCGGCGCCTCTCGCCATTTTCACCCGTATCGTGATTTTCTTCGGTGTCGTTGTCCCCATTTCCAAGCTCCGAAACTAATGCACTAGATCGCTGTTTACCCCGACCGCCTCTCTTACGCTGCCTCGGGCGCTTTTTAAGCTTCTCTTTTAAATTAAGTTGGCTCTTTTCTTTCTTGAGGTAGTAGAATTGGATACTTGTTCCAAAGTCCCTGTTTTCCAATGGGTCCGAGACTCGACCCCATTGTTTGGGGAACTCAAGGTAGGCCTTCTCAAACTGTGCCGTTTCTTCTTCGGTGAAATTGTCTACAGGAGGTAGGAGTTCCCAGGCTGCAACGATTTTCTCGGCCTGGATGTAACCATTCACGTCGCGATAAAAGTCGTTCTCCCGCTCTTCCGGTACTTGGTACTGTCGTGGTAATACTGCCTCCTTCTCAGTCCTGTACCTTTCTCTTTCGGCCTGCATCTGTCGCTCCCTTTTCTCATCTTCCACCTGACGTGATTCCTCCAGAATCCTTTGCAGATCACGCTCTGACGCATATCTACTTCGCCTCGTCCCTTCGGGCTTTGGTTCGTGAAAACCAGGCTTTTGGTTGCTGGGTTCCGATCCGGTAAT